CCCCCCGCGGCCCCCTTCCCCTCCTCCAGGGCTGCACCCTCCCATCCCACGGACAGAGAGCCACAGTCTCCTTCCCCTCCCCCAGAGCTACACAGCCCCCTTCTTCTCCTCCAGACCTACACCCTCCCATCCCATGGCCAGAGAGCCACAGCCCCCTCCCCCTCCTCCAGAGTTACACCCTCCCACCCCACGGCCCCCTTCCCCTCCTCCAGAGTTACACCCTCCCACCCCACGGCCCCCTTCCCCTCCTCCAGAGTTACACCCTCCCACCCCACGGCCCCCTTCCCCTCCTCCAGAGTTACACCCTCCCACCCCACGGCCCCCTTCCCCTCCTCCAGAGTTACACCCTCCCACCCCACGGCCCCCTTCCCCTCCTCCAGAGTTACACCCTCCCACCCCACGGCCCCCTTCCCCTCCTCCAGAGTTACACCCTCCCACCCCACGGCCCCCTTCCCCTCCTCCAGAGTTACACCCTCCCACCCCACGGCCCCCTTCCCCTCCTCCAGAGTTACACCCTCCCACCCCACGGCCCCCTTCCCCTCCTCCAGAGTTACACCCTCCCACCCCACGGCCCCCTTCCCCTCCTCCAGAGTTACACCCTCCCACCCCACGGCCCCCTTCCCCTCCTCCAGAGTTACACCCTCCCACCCCACGGCCCCCTTCCCCTCCTCCAGAGTTACACCCTCCCACCCCACGGCCCCCTTCCCCTCCTCCAGAGTTACACCCTCCCACCCCACGGCCCCCTTCCCCTCCTCCAGAGTTACACCCTCCCACCCCACGGCCCCCTTCCCCTCCTCCAGAGTTACACCCTCCCACCCCACGGCCCCCTTCCCCTCCTCCAGAGTTACACCCTCCCACCCCACGGCCCCCTTCCCCTCCTCCAGAGTTACACCCTCCCACCCCACGGCCCCCTTCCCCTCCTCCAGAGTTACACCCTCCCACCCCACGGCCCCCTTCCCCTCCTCCAGAGTTACACCCTCCCACCCCACGGCCCCCTTCCCCTCCTCCAGAGTTACACCCTCCCACCCCACGGCCCCCTTCCCCTCCTCCAGAGTTACACCCTCCCACCCCACGGCCCCCTTCCCCTCCTCCAGAGTTACACCCTCCCACCCCACGGCCAGAGAGCCACAGCCCCCTTCCCCTCCTCGGGTATGTCTACACTACCACCCTAGTTCAACTTTGTAGTCATTCAAAGTTGCAAATGAAGCCCGGGATTTAAATATCCCGGGTTTCATTTGCATCTTGCCGGGCGCCACCATTTTTAAATCCCCGTTAGTGCGGACTCTGTGCCTGCGGCTACATGCGGCACGGAGTAAGTAGTTCATATTAGGTTTTCTAATTCGAACTACCGGTACACCTCATTCCAAGCGACAAGAATGATTAAAGGTCTAGAGAACATGACCTATGAAGCCAGGCTTCATGAACTGGGCTTGTTTAGTTTGGAAAAAAGAAGATTAAGGGGGGACATGATAGCGGTTTTCAAATATCTAAAAGGGTGTCACAAGGAGGAAGGAGAAAATGTGTTCCTCTTGGTTTCTGAGGACAGGACAAGGAGTAATGGGCTTAAAGTACAGCAGGGGAGGTTTAGATTGGACATTAGGAAAAAATTCCTAACTGTCAGAGTGGTCAAACATTGGAATAAATTGCTAAGAGAGGTGGTGGAATCTCCCTCTCTGGAGATATTTAAGAACAGGTTAGATAGACATCTGTCAGGGATGGTGTAGACGGAGCTTGATCCTGCCTTGAGGGCGGGGGGCTGGACTCGATGACCTCTCGAGGTCCCTTCCAGTCCTATGATTCTATGATTCTATGAAGACTAATTTGAACTACCTACTCCGTGCCGCGTGGAGTCCGCGCTAACGGGGATTTAAAGGCGGCGCCACAGCCCTCTTCACCTCCTCCAGAGCTACACACATCCCAGAGTTACACCCCTCCCACTCAATGGCCAGAGAGAGACAACCCCCTTCCACTCCTCCAGACCTAAACACACCCCAGAGTTACAACCCTCCCATCCCACAGCAAGAGAGCCACAGCCTCCATCATCTCCTCCAGAGCTACACACACCCCAGAACTACACCTCTCCTAACCCATGGTCAGAGAGCCACGGCACTGTTCCCCTCTTCCATAGCTATACCTTCTCCACCCCATGGCCAGAAACAGCCTCCTTCCCCTCTTCTAGAGCTACACATACGGCAGAGCTACACCCATCCAACCCCATGGCCAGAGAGCCAATGCCCCCTTTCCCTCCTCGAGAGCTACACCCCACCCAGAATTACACCCCTCCCATCCCACGGCCAGAGAGTCACAGCTCCCTTCCCGTCTTTCAGAACTGCACCCATCCCAGGGTAAATAGCCACACCCTTCCCCTCTTCCATAGCTACGCACACTCCAGAGCTACACCCATTGAAACCCTCAGCCAGAGAGCCACAATCCCCTTCTCCTCTTTCAGAGCTACACCCCTCCCATCCCACGGACTGAGAGCCACAGCCCCCTTTCCCTCTTCCATAGCTACGCACACCCCAGAGCTACACCCATTGAAACCCTCAGCCAGAGAGCCACAATCCCCTTCTCCTCTTTCAGAGCTACACCCCTCCCATCCCACGGACTGAGAGCTACAGCCCCCTTTTCCTCTTCCAGAGCAACACACATCATAGGGCTACAACCTCCCACATCACAGCTAGAGCGCCACACCCATTCCCCTCTTCCATAGCTACACACACCCCAGAACTACACCCCTCCAATCCCACGGACAGAGAGCCACATCCCCTTCCCCCTCTTTCAGATCTGCTCCCATCCCAGAGCTACAACCTCCCACCCTGTGACGTAGTCGGGTGCTGTCTACTTTGTAACCCAGAGTTCCTGACGGCTGTATTGTGTGATGTATGATTCCCAATGACTCACCCAACTTGTGTTTTGGCTGTAGACATCTAAGTCCCAGCTGGAGCAGGTAACAACCCTGTTCCCAGAGAAAGGGACAAAGGAAGAGAGGCGGGGACTGTCCCCAGGCTAGGAGGTAGGGCCAGCGGAGTTGGGTTAGTGTCGGCTGGGCTAGGGGAATGAGGATGAGGGAAACCCCTTCCCCCAAAGAGGAATAAGGCTCCTGTCCTGGCTTCTGTGTCAGCACTGATCCTACACTACGCTGTATCTCTGAGAAGCAACAAAAACCTTCTACTCGACTGGCCGCGTATGGGAGTGCAGGGCCGGGGGCTTCCCGACTCATCATCACACACCCCACGGCCAAAAAGCCACAGCCTCCATCCCCTTCTCAAGAGCTACACACACCCCAGAGCAACACCCCTCCCAAACCATGGCCAGAGAGTCATAGCCCCCTTGTCCACTTCCAGAGCTACACATACAGCAGAGCTGCACACCTCCAAAACCATGGCCAGAGAGTCAATGCCCCCTTCCCCTCCTCCAGAGCTACACCCCTCCAACTGAAGGGTCAGAGACACAGCCCCCTTCCCTTCCTCCAGAGCTACACCTCTCCCATCCCACAGTCAGAGAGACACTGCCCAGAGCAACACTCCTCCCATTCAATGGCCAGTAAGGCACAGCCTGCTTGCCATCCTCCACAGCTGTGCACACCCCAGCACTATCCCCCAATCCCATCACACAGCCACAGCCCCCTTCCCCTCCTCCAGACGTACACACAACACAGACCTACACCCCTCCAACACCACAACCAGAGAGCCACAACCCCCTGTGATGACGCAGTCGGGGTACCCCCATCCCTGCAGCAGCAAGAACAGACTCTGTCAGCCGATAGAGTAGACGGGGTTTATTGCTTCTCCTGGATACAGCCCAGCACAGACATGATGGCTGCATCTAGACTGGCAAGTTTTTCCGCAAAAGCAACTGCTTTTACGGAAAAACTTGCCAGCTGTCTACACTGGCCGCTTGAATTTCTGCACGAACACTGACTTCCTACTGTCTGAAATCAGTGCTTCTTGCGGAAAGGCTATGCTGCTCCCGGTCGGGCAAAAGCCCTCTCGCGCAAATGCTTTTGTGCAAGAGGGCCAGTGCAGACAACAAGGTATTGTTTTGCACAAAAACGCCCCGATGGCGAAAATGGTGGGCGGGGCTTTCTTGCGCAAAACTGCGTCTAGATTGGCACGGACGCTTTTCCGTAAAAAGTGCTTTTGCAGAAAAGCGTCCTGCCAATCTAAGTGCAGACAACAAGGTATTGTTTTGCACAAAAACGCCCCGATGGCGAAAATGGTGGGCGGGGCTTTCTTGCGCAAAACTGCGTCTAGATTGGCACGGACGCTTTTCCGTAAAAAGTGCTTTTGCAGAAAAGCG